TCCTGTGCTTTCCTGCCTCCCCTTCCTTTCTTTAGAGTGATGGAACATAGCACTCGATCCTTACCTCTGTGTGGCAGTTTTATCTGTCCTGTTTAATACATTTTCCGTATTATCCCCACTTAAGACTTGGTTTAGGTAGATGGCAAATGTGTCTGAGTGGAACTCATACTCTTGGATAGAATTTCTGTTACAGTGCTTCTCAGTTTTTCAGCCATCACTTCCTTTTATAAATACAAAACTCCCATACCCTCTGCATTCTGACAGTTTTCAGATACTAACTGGGTCTCCTACAATTCAATTCAGTTTTGACAATAACTGTCCTGTGCTAGCATCAGATCCCATAGGTTAAAAGTCAAGGTTTCCAACAAGATTACTCTTACTTTAGACATCAGCATGCAAAGTGGGGTCCTCAGACTACCCACACTTATTCCTGGCTGACTACAAATTTGGGGCTTCCCATAAGCCCCTCAGGTTTGATAATTCACTAGAGTGCCTTGCAGAACTCAGGAAAGGTCTACACGTACGATTACACAAATGAACATCCAGATGAGGCGTACAGGGCACCACCACAGGGCAAGGTCTGAAAGGGTCCCGAGCTTAGAAGCTTTGTCCCTGTGGAGTCCCAGTGCACCACCTCCCTGGCTCGTCAGTGTTCACGGACTGGAAGGCTCCCCTGAGTGTTAATGTCCAGAGTGTTTATATGGGGCTTCATTATGTAGGCATGATTGATTGAATCATTGGGCACGCGATTGAAATCAATCTCTAGCACCTCCCCCTCCCTGGACGTTTTGGGGTAAGGCTGGAATTCCCAACACTGTCATCACATGGTTGGCTTTTCTGGCAACCAGCCTCCATCCTGAAGCAATCCAGGCCCCCCCTTACCCACAGTGAGTCACAGTTGGAGGGTCAGCTCGAGTGTGGCTGAAAGAGACTAGCAGAAGACTCTCCTGTCGCTTAGGAAATCCCAAGAGATTTTGAAGCTCTATTCCAGAAACTGGGGATAAAGACCAGGTGTATTCTTTATTATATGACACCCTCCTTTAACGTTATTTGAAATTGCAATGTTAATTAATTTTTATTGAAAACAGATTGAACAGAGTAACTTTAGAATTTCTTAAATTGCCTGAGCAGTTATCTACTATCCACAGTTCTTCAATTGCTCTTAAGAAAAGCGCTGAAAGGGATAGTTCCAGAACCTCCAGGAGGTGGAACTCGTTTCCCAAACAGCAGTGCCGAGGCTGTAGCAATACTCTGGTGTCAGGCAAAGTGACGCAGTTCATTCAGTCTGGTTGACCTGATAGCGGTCCTTGTCCTAGTCATAAAAGTAAGAAAATTCAATTCATCATCCAGGTGTTTCCAAATATATGGGTATTGCATTAATGTAAATGCATACATGTTAAGTATGTACCTTATGTTCATAACAGTTTGGTATAAGCTATGTGGCACAGGAGTAGTTCAAAGGAAGAAGGGGAGGGATATAGTAGCCTTGGAATGTCTTTAGGGATGAGGTAGGATTTGAGGTGTCCTTGAGAGATGGTTAATACTTGGAGAAGTAGAGGGGAGAGAGATAATGGTGTTTTAGGTGAAGAAAAAAATACATGTGAGGAGACAGGATATATCATGGCTTCTTTGTACTTACACACAGCCGTATGGCCTTATTGGAGCAATTTGTGCATGTGAGGAATGGTGGAAAATGAGATTAAATAGATGAGCTGTGTTAAATTATGTATGATTTTCAAAGGCCAGTAGAATAGTTTCGACTTGATGTGGTAGGTAATTGAGACTCAAGGAAGGCTTTTGATAAGGTGAGTTAGAAAATGAAAAGAATATGTAAGAAACATGGATTGGCATTTGTATTGGTAGATTAATGAGAAGAGAGATTGGAGAAGGGGGATAGAGAATTGGAAACTGGAACCTGGCTGGTATGGCGCAGTGGATTGAGCACCAGCCTGCACACCAAAGGGTCGCTGGTTCAATTCCCAATCAGGGTACATGCCTGGGTTGTAGGCCAGGTCCCCAGTTGGGAGCATGCAAGAGTCCACTGATCCAGGTGTCTCTCACACATTGATGTTTCTTTCCTGCTTTTTCTCCCTCTCTTCCCTCTCTCTAAAAGTAAATAAAGAAAATCTTAAAAAAAAAAGTAAATTAGAACAATTTGAGCCTCCAAATAATGACAGTAACAGATTATAAACTGTGGAATAATCCGTGAGACCATGCTAATATGAGTCAGAAGGGAAGTCTTTCCCTGTGATAGAATGCAAAGTAATGTAGAAGGTTTGATAGAAATAAAAAATTTTAGGAAAGTCATGAATGGCTGCTAAAGCCAGTAGGCAAAAGTTTGATGAGAAACAGGATATTTACATGGTCTCAAAGTATCTCCTCATAAGATACTTATTAATTACAAAAGGAAAAATAGTAACTTTGTGATGGAGGAACCTGTCAGGCACCACCTCCTCCAAGTGATGACAGCCGACATCACCAGTAACGGGACAAAATTGGCATCATCTCTCTCCTGCTGTGGTGCACTGAGAAGGGTGCAATATCACTCCTGTGGTATTCTTGCCAAAAACGTAAAACCTGAACTTAACCATGAGATGGCCCCATACAAGCCCACCTGAGGGATATTCTACAAATTAAATGGCTTTTAGTTTTCAAAAACATTAAGGTCTTGAAAGGTAAAAAAAAGGCTGAGGATCTTCCAAATTAAAGGAGACTAGAGAGGCATGACAACAGAATGCAGTATTTGATCCTGGACAGGAAAAAAACACCCTGATTTTTCTTTTCTATCAAAGATAATAGTGGGACAGACCCGAGATGTGATAAAGTCTGTAGATTAGGTAGTAGTGTTGTATTGCTGTTAATTTCCTGGGCTTGACAATGCACTATGGTTATGTAGGAGAATGACCTTGGCTTTAGGAAATGCATACTAAGGTTCTTAAGGGTAAAGGGTCATCATATCTGCCGCTTACTCTCAAGTGGTTTAATTTTTTTTAAAGCATATATATATTTAGAGAGCGTGATAATGCAAATGTGATTAAATGTTAACATACGTGGAATTTAGTTAGGGGATAGACCTAACTCCTTTGGACTATTTTTGCAGTTTTTCTGTAAGTCTAAAATTTTCTCAAAATAAGTTTTATAAAAATTGAGCCAGAGCTGCTGAGTTAGTTAGCAGTAAATCGATGACTATTTTAATTAACTTATGTATAACAGTATTTGTGTAGGCAGTGCTTGCTGACTTTACAGGTCCCATTCCTTCTCTGTGTTTTTTAACTTGTGTTAATACTGTTTAAAGTCTGGCATAACAAGGAGAAAGAACACTGGCTTAGCCACCAGGAAATGGATTATTCTCTTAGGTGTGCAACTCACCTTTTAGTGAGATCCTGAGGAAATCACTGTCCAGGGCCCCAAGGTCTTCACCTGAACACATTTAGCAGGAGCTGGATAAGCTGACATCGATGACGAGGTTCTAGCAGTTCCGTGACAATGGCTCCTGGATTCACTGGCATGGTCGGAACTCAGTGACAGTGTTTATTTTCAGCCACAAGGAGAAGGCCCAAGCGTTCCCTCACAAGTCGGCTGTAAAGAACTGTGGAAACCAGAGCTAGAAGACCACCTAGCCTGTCCTTCCACCAGCGGCACTCCCTTGTTCATGGCACACCTTTTCAGTTTTGGCCAGTATGCTCCTTTCTAGCTGTTTGTTGTTTTCCTAGGGACTTGTGTTTTTTAGTTCACCCGTTCTTTTAGTCATTAAAAAAAAAAGAGTGTGACTTAACTTTAAAATCTTCTAGTTCTTTTATGTTTAGACTTTACTTTTGGAAACAGTAATTTGCTATTATAGCAGAGATTAATAGGCAGGTGGACTGCTTTCCTCTAGAATAACAAAAGGATTTAGTTGATAAGCAGTTGGATGTCTGTGGTAGTAATTATATGATCAGAAAGTGATGGGAACAGAGATCACATTTCAGAATAAAAATTAAGATTTTTAGCTTGTGCAAAAAAAAAGGTAGGCTAGAAAAGATAACAGGAAAGGGTCTTTGCTCTTACTAATCCTTTCGATGTGATACCCTAAAAAACAAAGAATGTAAGGCTATACAGAAGTAGGCACGCTGACCTGTTGGTGAGGATGTAAGCTGGTTTATCCTTTTTTGGAGGTAATTTAGTAATATCTATTAAAAACAAAAGATTATGCATGCCAACTTGAGTTCCATTTCTAGAAATTCATTGTAGAATGAATTCTAGAGATTAATTTCCATCTCTAGAAATACTCATTGTAGCAATGTTTATGAAAGTGAAAACTCAGTGTGCATTGTTAGATGAACACAGCATACAATGGATTCTTATACAACTATCAAAAAATAAGGTAGGAAGCTTTTTAAATGTTAATATAAAATGGATTTATCATTGCTATTTTTAAAAATTGTGATAAAATATAGAAGCCATAATATTTAACATTTTAACCATTTGTAAGTATACAGTTCAGGGACAACGAATACATTTATAATTTTATGTAACCATCACCACTTTCTAGATTTAAAACTTTTTTAGCATCCTCAACAAAAACTGTGTATCCATTAAATAATAACTACCCCCCACCCAGAGATTGTTATAAGGTGACATGTAACATTGCCCAAATGCATAATTAAGTGATAAAGGAGGACTGCCAAATAGTGTGGATTCTGGTTCCAGTGTGGTGAATTATTATAATATGTTAATTTAAGTGTAGGGAAAATCCAGGAGACTGTCTGTATTAAACTGTTAATGGGGGACATTATGGAAGAACTTTACTTTTAGATCATAAGTTTTGGTAATTCTTTGTTAAACAATGAGTATGTGTAATTTTTCTAAGCAGAAAAAGAGGTATACTTTATTGTACTAAAACTTTGTAATTTCGGTGGCTCTGATTTTAGCTAACAACAGACTTTCTATGTGGTTGCTGAATTTGAGTTTATGTAGAACCTGGACACTTGATTAAAGCAGTGTCATTTTTACTTTCACAGCTAGAGTTGGGAAGACATCACTGATTATGTCTCTGGTCAGTGAAGAATTCCCAGAAGAGGTAAACATTTTTATTTCTTTTCTATTTTTAAAATGTTCTAAATTTATCAAAATCGAGCTAAAACGAAACAAATTCTTCCTTTTTTGCATGCATTTCCTTTCTAACAATCATGACTTTGAAAAGGCTCATCTTATTTTACACAAGACATCTTGGAAATACAGTGTAGGGGAAAGAACCACGCTAGCTCTGAGTTCACCTCCATCCTTTGCATTTCCTGCTTTTGACCTTGGCTAGGATATATGTCAGTTCTGTGCCTGATTTGTCTCATCTGTGAAATGGGAGCTCAGAGGGGTATTAGAGGTAATCTAATCCGTATAATCCTCTCTTTTTTGTTCTGGGTAAATTGTTTCTTAAAAATAAAACGTTACTCATAAGCCCAGAACAAAACAGATGAGTATTCCTTAGTTAAGGTTAGGGTAAAAGGCCTGGATCCCCACCTGCCTTTCACCTGACACCCCCTAATCTTTGAGAGAACCACTAGGATTCCGATACACATTTGAAAACCTTTATTATTATCTACTTCCATCATTTCACCAGTGGAGAAACTGATTCATTCCATCTTGGCCTACCTCGGAGGGTTATGGTGGGTCTCAAATGAGATAAGATTACCAGTGGGAGTGCCACCAAAGGTAAGGTGGCTTTATTATATTACTGGCAACAGATATATTTACAATTTGAAAGTCCCATTATGAGGGATCATTGCTTATGGCCTTAGGTAGTCAGGATATTATTGTGGGGAATGGGACAAAGGCAAATGAGATGAAAATACACTTTTTAAATATTCTTTCTTCACATACCAGGTGTTATTAGTGCCACAGTTTATATTTATCCTTTAAAAAATTTTGTTTAGGTAGGAATATCTGTATAATTTCAGTATTTAGACAGAAATGTGATGGGATAGTATTTTCAACAGTAGCCATATAACCATTCATTATTTCTTTTGCTTTTTTTTCTTGTTAAATAAGATGGTTAAATAACTAACTACTTAATTCATGAAATGAAGCGTATTTTCATGTGGTTTATGGTATTATTGTTTATGGAATTAACAACATTAATTATGATCATGCAGGATGTAATGCCTAAAAGTTTTCTATGATAGTTTAATTTAGTTTAGAATTGCCATTTTAGGATAGTCCTCTTGGGTATGAATAAGGGATTTTTAAATGAGTAAAATCATCCAGTCTTTCTAAACAATGTAATCATTAAGAATAAGACTTATTCAATGTGAGCTTGCTACAGCAACAGTCTAACCTATTCCGGCGCTCTCCTCCATGAGACAAGCCGTTATACAGACTTAGACAGTGTTGAAAAAAAAAAAAAGAAGAAACAAGAATAGGATTTATTATATAGCCAATCAGTTATCCTCCAGAAGAAATGAATTTTGATCATTTTTTTAAAGATTTTATTTACTAGAGAGAGGGGAAGGGAAGGAAAAAGAGGGAGAGAAACATCAATGTGTGGTTGCCTGTCATGTTCCCCCTACTGGGGACCTGGCCCACAACCCAGGCATGTGCCCTGACTGGGAATCGAACCAGTGACCCTTTGGTTCACAGGCCCGTGCTCAATCCACTGAGCTATACCAGCTAGGGCGATAATTTATTTGTTTTATTTGAGAATTTATTTTAGATTGACATAGTTTCTCATTTGTAGAGTATCTAAAGCCTTCAACAAAATAGAATGAAAACAACATATTTTTTAAAAATTGAATGTTTTTAAAAAATATTTTATTTATTCATTTTTAGAGAGAGGATGGGAAGGGAGGGAGAAAGGGAAGGAAACATCAATGTGTGATTGCTTCTCATGCACCCACTACTGGGAACCTGGTCCACAACCCAGGCATGTACCCTGATTGGGAATTGAACCAGCGACCCTCTGGCTTGTGGGCTGGTGCTCAGTCCACTGAGGCCTACCAGCCAGGGCTAAAAACCTAATGTTTGAAATACCAAATTTAGATACTATTTCAGGCTGCGTCAGATCTGAAGTATCCTTGTATGTGCTGTGCTCATACAGATGTGTATTTTTTAAATGGTTTATCATATAGCATTAATATATATTTGCGTCTGTGATAAAGAACAAAGTAAAGCATTTTTTAACAAAAATAAGCATTTAAAAGTACAACACATACCTGTAATGATAGGTATGGATGAAAGGAGCTTATATATAGATGAATTTACGTAATCTATGAACAGGTTTGATGGATAATATCCAAAGGTTTTTCTTTTCTGTATTTGTTTTCAAATGAAGGTTCCTCCCCGGGCAGAAGAAATCACCATTCCAGCTGATGTTACCCCTGAGAGAGTCCCGACACACATTGTAGATTACTCAGGTAATGAACGACCTATTGACTTACTGGAGGTGAGGCTGTAGGGATAATTTAATCATCCTTGAAAAGGTATTTACTCAGCTTTAGAAAATGTTAAAGAGGAGTGATCCTTTTTCTCCAGCAGTAAATGGTCCTTTACTGTTCTTGTCTCATTTATTTATATCTTCTTGCTAACTCCCACCCAGGCCCTCTTAAAGGCTCCATCTTTCAGTTCTGTCCCTAATCCATTAAGTTGTGTTCAGCAATAGTGAAAAGGAAGGAGGGATGGTAAATGACAAGAAGTAGGTACATCATTACCCTCCTTGAATTGGCATGTTTTGTTATCAGGCATGCTACGATGGTTTGGAAAGAGTTCCAGATTTAAGACTTGTTGAATTCTAACTTTGTTCTTTACTTTTTCAGCCTGTGTCCCAAATAAAATAATAGTTAAGATAGTTGTAAGCTTTCTTACTACATTGTACGATAATAGAAGCACATCTATATTGCTTTTAATAACTTAAATTTTTTATATACACTACTACTTTTTAATTATTAAATTGTTTTGTGCTGGGACTTTTTATTTTATTTTTAAATTATATTTATTGGGGCGACATTGGTTAATAAGATCATACAGGTTTCAGGTGTACATCTCTGTGGTACACAGTCTGTATGTTGCATTGTGTGTCCACCACTCAAACTCAGATCATCTTCCATTACCATGTATTTGTCCCCCTTTACCCTTTACTGCCGCCTGGGACTTTTTTCTTTTAAAGGGTCAGTTGTAACATGTACCACTCTGATGGGTGATTTTGATGATGGGGGAAGCTATGTGGAGGGAGGAGGTATATGGGAAATTTTTGTACCCTCCACTCAGTTTTGCTACGAACCTAAGTCTGTTTTTTAAAATGGGTCTAACTATGTTGGTAATACTTTGTTTTGCTAAAATAGTATTCCATGTAGCCTAAAACAGAAACGTTAGTACAGTGTAGTCCGAAACACGAGATGCTTTGAACACTTCAAGTGCGACTAGTCCTAAACTGAAGTGTGCTGTGTGAAATGCAAGTGAGTTTAGAAGACTTAGCATGAAACATAAATGTAAAATAGCTCATTAATAATTTTTCTGAGAATATATTGGTATTTTAATATTTTTTATATTTTGGGTTAAATAAAAGTAATTTTACCTGTTCCTTTTTACTTTTCTTGAAGTGACTACTAGAAAATTAAAAATTCCATATCTGTGCTTGCATTACATTCCTGTTGGAGAGCACTGTATTAGAGTCTGAGGGGGGTGGATGCTTTCTGTTACAGTTTCATCTCTAGCTTTATTTATAGAATTATTCTTCTTTAATATATGTGGTCATATAATTAGATTCACTTCAGTGTTAGAATTGGAATCTTAACCTACTGATTATTCAACATATGAATATTAAAAGATATTAAAAATGACCAATTTTTAATAAGATATTAAAAATGACCAATTATTTAGCATAATGTAAAGTACAGTTGAAATCATTTATGATATTAGTTTGTGTAGCTCAAATAACAAGGACATTGGGGGGAAATGTAATGTAAGATGATCAGAATTGATGTGTCAATAATGGCTTTGCTCTCCATTCATGTGCCTCTTTGTCCTACCTGTGTCATGCATATCTCGAGCACCTTGGGGTTGTGGGCGCACCCGCTCACTGAGACCAGTTCTGGCCAGAGATACACTCTACAGAGGGAATTCTTGACTCCTCATTCTCATGCTCTAGTTTTGCTTCTGGGACCGGGTTAATATCACTCAGATCTGCTCTATGGGTCTCAAGCTTGTACTGCCCAGATTCTCATGTGGCCCTTTAACCTTGTGTGTGGATAGACTCTTTGTCTGGGCCTCTGACTTCTCAGCACCCAGTTTTCTAGGTTGGGTTTCTGATCTCTCCTGCCTGACCCTTCTCAACTCTGGTCAGATACCGGCCTAGATTTATAACACAATGCCTTCTGCTCCTCTCTGTCTGAGTTACCTTCTTGTAAACTTGTCTGTCGGTGCCAGCCACTTCCTTATCAATCTCTCCTTCCCCTGGCTTGCCCTGGTCTTTGCCACTGAGTCTGGTGCTTGACCAGGACACGAGGAATGTGGGATGTTTGAGGGTGTTAGACGGGCGTCGCGTGAATTTTAGCCTGGCCATTAGTTTCTGTGGACATGTGGAAAATATTACACTCTTTTTTACTTTGTCATTTGTAGAAGCAGAACAGAGTGATGAACAACTTCATCAAGAAATATCACAGGTGAGTTAAAACATAGTCGTAGGGTTTTTGTGGGAAAACAGTGATGAGTGAGAAAAAGTCTGCTTTTTCGTTCTCTCACTTAGTTTGTTGTTATTGCTGACTTTGAGTGTGTGTTTTTGCTGTAAGTCCTTAGGAACTTTTTCTTTTTAGAGACATGCTAAGTGTTTATTATTACAAAAATGCTATTAATTTGTTAATTTTTGTTGTAGGCTAATGTCATCTGCATAGTTTATGCTGTTAACAACAAGCATTCTATTGATAAGGTATGAACGTGTGACTTTTTCACTATATTTAATTAAATTTCAGTGGGGGTACTTTCAGAATTGATCCTCAACTTAGAATTTTAGGGGTCTGGAGGGCAGGTACTTTTCAAAGAAGATCCTCGTATGGCTTAGCTCTTGTTAATTTTCATTTCAGGTAACAAGTCGATGGATTCCTCTCATAAATGAAAGAACAGACAAAGACAGCAGGTATTTTTTTTCTCTCAAATTTTGTATATTGAACAATATCAAACTTACAAAAGAGTTGCAAGAAGTAGTGTGATGAATACCTGTAAACCCTTCACTTAAATCTACCAGTTGTTACCATTTTGCTGCATTTGCTTTATCTATAGGTCTGTGTCCCTGTTTGCAAACATACACACTCCTTTTGGGGGGAGGAATTATTTGAGGCAGCACAGATATTTGAGAGCAAAGCACAGAATGGAGCTCTGATACTGTAGTGATCCCCAATTTCATATATTAAATATTTTGATAATCTTAGATTTTTCTTTCTCAAACTGCTGCTTGAAAAGTACACGCCCTCTCTTGAGATGCCCCTTTGATGAGTAATGGCCTTTTCCCTTGTCACTGGTTGCTCATAGTGTGGTGTGTGTGAGCACAGGACTTGGAGGAAATTGAAAGACCTTTGAAATCTGGTTTGGCTGCTTGTAAGCTTTAAGACTTCGATTTCATTGAGTCCATTTTCTCAGCTGTAAGCACAGATGAGGGTAATACCTCTTGTGGTTACTTTAAGAATGCAGTGAAACAATGCATGTGTAAGTGCTTTATAAGTTCTCTAAAAAACTGTAGGGGTCTTCATTTAGGAATTCATACAGGGAGATTTCTTTGAAATTCTTTGGAAGACATGTATATGATAGGGAAAAAGCAGGAGAACATACATTCTGTTTTTTTCTGAGTAGGGTGCTAGTTGTAGGTATATATGCTTTGAATTTTAAGTCAAAATGGAAACAAAACATTTTTCTTGTAGCATTGTATAATTGAACATGTTATTTATGAATTGAACATGTTATTTATGAAACATTTGAGTCTTTTGAAATGTTAGGAAAGCAACTAATACCTATGTATTGTATACATCTGGTCCTTTATTTGCTTTTTTAATTTTTATTATTTTATTTTTTAAAATTTATTTCTTATTATATTTTTTTTCCATTACCATTTAGTCCCTTTATACCCCCCACCCCTTACTTGCTTTTTTATATTTATTTTTTTAATTGGGCATTTTTGTGCCTTGAAACCTAAGGATCTGGTTCTAAATAGATGAACGTGGTCACTGACCCTTGTTTCCCAAGTCTACATAAGCAGACTTTTGACTGAGATGGTATTGTGTATGCTGTGCCTTGCAGCTCTGATTGTTCCTCTTTGGTTTTAAACTTCATAGCGACATACTGTCAAGGAGAAAAGAACAGTATGACCGTCTAGGGCTACCCCACCCAGTGCAATAACCTCTAATCAGTTGTAGCCATTTAAAATTAAATTAAGTGAAATGAAATGAAACTAAAAATTCAGTTTCTTGAATATACTCAGTTGCATTTCAAGTGATTGTAGTAATGGACAGTACACATAAAGAACGTTTCTGTCATCATAGAAGGGTGTGGTAGACAGAGCATCCACCTGCATGCTCTGACACCTGCTTGTCTTGCTAATTATTAAAGCTGCTTCCAGGAGGGACTCTTCAGAGAAGGCAGTTTAGCCAGGATCTATCAAGGACTTGGTTGGACCACTGGATATTTAAAATTTGGCTTTACTATGACAGCTTCCTAAAATGCTGTGGTTAGGTTTCTAGTCCTTTTAGTATCATCTGAAAGTGGCTTTTAGCCCTGGCTGGTGTGGCTCAGTGGATTGAGTGCTGGCCTGTGAACCAAAGGGTTGCTGGTTCGATTCCCAGTCAGGGCACATGCCTGAGTTGTGGGCCAGATCCTCAGTGGGGGTGTGTAGAGGCAACCACACATTGATGTTTCTCTCCCTCTTTTTCTTCCTGTTTTTCCCTCTCTCTAAAAATAAATAAATAAAATCTTTAAAAAAATGAAAGTAGCTTTTAACATTTGGAGATCTAATTGAGCTTTCTCAGGTGTGGCTATGTGTTTTCCCTCCCTGAATCATATCAGCATAGTTATTTTTTTTGTGGTTGTCCCAAGGTGGTCTGTTTCTTTATGATATGGCCCTTACACTTTTCAATATCTTCCTCCTTTAAATTTATATTAAAACAACTTTTTTAATTTATTGATTTTAGAGAGAGGGAGGAAAAAAGACAGAGAGAAACATCGATTTGTTGTTCCACTTATGATTTCATTGGTTGATTCTTGTGTGTGCCCTCACTGGGGATAGAACCCAGAGCCTTGGTGAATCTGCACAACACTCTAACCAACTGGCCTACCCAGCCAGGGCCCTTAAGTTTATATTTGTTCCACATTTATTCTTCCTAGGACTTCCTTGGACCATTGTTACAGTGTTTAAAAATTTTTTTTATTAACATACAGTTAGACTACACTATTATATTTGTTTTTAAGTTTACAACATGGTGATTAAAAATTTATATCCTGTCCCTGGCCAGGTGGCTCAGTTGGTTAGAGCATCACCCCATACACTAAAAGGCTGCGGGTTCGATCCCTGGCCAGGGCGTGGTATGAGAGGCAACAGGTCGATGTTTCTCTCTCCCTTCGATGTTTCTCTCTTCCTTCCCGTCTCTGTAAAATCAATAAACAGAGCCTTGGGTGAGAATTTAAAAAACAATAATAAAATAAAAATGTATGTACTTCATGCTGTTATCACCACACTAAGTCTGGTAACCATTGTTACTGTGCAAAGTTACTACACTATTACTGACTGTATTCCTGGTGCTGTACACCACATCTCCGTGGTTTGTTTATTTTGGAACTGGGAGTTTGTACTTCTTACTCACCTTTACCTTTTTCACCCATCCCCCTTTTCCCTTATTATAGTGGTTCTTAATTGGGGGGGGGTGCTCATCATTGTCATCTGAGGTACTTTAAAAAAACATAGATGCCTTTGCCCTACCCTTAGAGTATTAGAATCAGTAGGTTTGGAGTAGGATTTGGACATGTGTATTTTTTCTAAGCTCCCTAAATTATTCTGAGCATACCTTTGGTTGGAAACTACTACATTTTTGGAAACTCTTCTGTCTCTGTTTGGAATATATATTTGGGTCATATAGTAGGTCAGGTTTTTTTTAATGTATAACTACACTAAGAGGGTAAATAAATACTTGTAAGTTTTTCTATTGCAATCTGGAGTTCCAACAAGATGATTTGCTTTCACTCCAAAATCTGTTGCAGAGGCACAAATGACAGTTCTCCACTATGCTAGTTCTCTTTGATTTCCCCATGTAGATTTCTGATAGGTCGGTCAGAAACAAAATCCTTGTCTGAAACAAAACCCTTAATTCCCTGCCTGTCTCCCCCCACCAAAAAAAAAGACCTCTCCATCTTTACTGTCTCAGGAGATCTACTCATTTTGTCTAGCTAAAGACCTGTATTTTTTTTTATTTTTGCCTTTCTCTCAACCTCCATATCTAATCTTCCAGCTGTAACATACCACATCATCCCCTAAATATTTCACTGAATGATAACAAGTGACCGCATTTTTAAAAAAATATATTTTATTGATTATGCTATTACAGTTGTCCCATTTTCCCCCCTTCACTCTCCTCCACCCCGTACACCCTCTCCCACCCATATCCCCCCTTTAGTCATGTCCATGTGTCATACTTATAAGTTCTTTAGCTTCTACATTTCCCATACTATTCTTACCCTCCTTCTATCTATTTTCAACCTACAATCTATGCTACTTATTCTCTGTACCTTTTCGCCTTCTCTCCTCCTCCCACTCCTCTGTTGCTAACCTTCCATGTGATCTCCCTTTCTGTGGTTCTGTTCCTATTCTAGTTGTTTGCGTAGTTTCTTTTGGTTTTGCTTTAGGTGTAGTTGTTAATAATTGTGAGTTTGCTGTCATTTTACTATACATGTTTTTTCTTTATCTTCTTTTCTTAGATAAGTCCCTTTAACATTTCATAAAATAAGGGCTTGGTGATGATGAACTCTTTTAACTTGACCTTATCTGAAAAGCACTTTATCTGCCCTTCCCTTCTAAATGAAAACTTTGCTGGATAGAGTAATCTGGGATATATATAGGTCTTTGTCTTTCATGACTTGGAATATTTCTTTCCAGCCCCTTCTTGCCTGTAAGGTCTCTTTTGAGAAATCAGCTGACAGTCTGATGGAAAGTCCTTTGTAGGTGACTGTCCCCTTATCTCTTGCTGCTTCTAGGATTCTCTCCTTTGTTTTTACCTTGGCTAATGTAAATATGATGTGCCTTGGTGTGTTTCTTCTTGGGTCCAACTTCTTTGGGGCTCTCTGAGCTTCCTGGATTTCCTGGAAGTCTATTTCCTTTGCCAGAATGGGGAAGTTCTCCTTTATTATTTGTTCAAACACGTGTTCAATCTGTTGCTTTTCCTCTTCCCCTTCTGGTACTCCTATAATTCGGATGTTGGAACGTTTAAAGATGTCTTGGAGGTTCCTAAGCTTCTCCTCGTTTTTTTTTGAATTCTTATTTCTTCATTGTTTCCTGTTTGGTTTTCTTTTCTTTTCTTTTTTTCTTCCTTCTGGTCCACTCTATTGTTTTGAGTCCCAGTTTCCTTCCCATCACTATTGGCTCTCCGTGCATCTTCCTTCATCTCTTTTATGGTAACCTGCATTTTTTTTCATGTAATTTGCACCCAAAATCAACCAATTCTGTGAGCTTCCTGATCACCAGTGTTTTGAACTGTGCATCTGATAGGTTAGCTATTTCTTGGTCGCTCAAAAGGATGAGTTCTGGGGCGCTGATTTGTTCTTCTATTTGAGCCATCTCTCTCTCTCTCTATTTTTGGTCTGGTCGCTCCTGTTACGGTGAGGGGCGGAGCCTTAGGTGTTCACCAGGGCTGGGCACCCCAGTCACTAGATTGTGGCTTTGTATGTGGGGGTGGGGGCAGGGGGGAACAATGGCGGCAGCCCCACTCTCCTGGGATCTCAGTCCCTTCCCTGGGATCCTGGGCTGCGCTCTCCGCTCTGGTCCACAATCATAGCCTCACTGGGTCCGTCAGTTGCTGCTTGCATACTCAGGACCCACTGCATGCCGGGGATGGCTTATGAGCTCCCAGTTGCCTTAGGTGCCCCCCTCTCCCCACACTCCGTGTGCTGCGACCCGCGGTGGTCTCCGCCCCTCCTATTGGTCTGGATGAATGGGTCTACTTCAACTTCTTGGCTGTCCAACTTCCATTCAGATAAATTCTATGTCAGTTCTGGGTGTTATTCTGCCTCTAAATTGTTGTTGTTCTAATCTTGGTTGTGTGTGGAGGTACGGTGCGTCCACCTATGCCTCCATCTTGCCGGAAGTCCAAATGACCGCATTTTAAAAGGTCCAGCAGTCATGTCATTCCCCCAGTAGTTTCCCATTTTATACTTACAATAAAACCTGCACTCCTTACTACATCTGTGAGTCTTTACATGTTTGGGTTTTTGCTCCTCTCTTCAACATTTCCTACTTCTTCCCTTTTGCTTGGGAGCCTTCAGCCACTCTGGGATTTTTTTTTTTGTTCTTTGGACTAAGGATGTTTTTCAGTCTGGGCCCTTTGTACATGCTCTTTCCAGCCCGCTCTTTGCTGGCTCTTCATATGGCAGATTCCATTTCATTGTTCACTCACTGATCCAAATGCCACCTTCTCAGAGAAATGTTTCCCTGACTATCACACGTAATTACCATATTTTGTTCTGTATAATGCACACTTTTATGCCCAAATTTGTGAGGGATATATAAGGATGCACAATATTCATGGGTAGTACTAATTCCATATCTATATGAATGTTTTAAATTCTTTTATTTATGCTTATGCATTAAAAGTGTAACTCTAGAAGGCAATAACTATATCTGTATGCAAAACAATACATTGGAATACAATAATTGGTTTTGTTTCTAAATACATGGAAATAAAAAATTGAATTAAAAAATTAAAAGGTTTTTTCCTGAAAGTTTGGGCCAAGAACATGGGTGCGCATTATACATGGGAGTGCATCATACATAGCAAAATATGGGTAGTTCCCCTTCATTACTCTATCCCATATCCCACTATTTATTTTCTTCATAGCACTTACAGACTTGGAAATTGTCTTATTTGTTTGATTATTGTCCGTTTCCTGATTTTTACTACTAGACAGGGATGGGACTTTGCCTATGTCCTTACTGCCTAGAACAGCACCTGGCTTCTCGTAGGTACTCAGTAAACATTTGTTGAATATGCTCTCTGGTGGGCTTGAGCTGACTACAATAGAGGGTTCACATTGGGGAGACTGAGTAAAGCTTATTAGTTAGAATGGATTGTGACGTGCATTAAAATATAAATCTAATGGTTTTTGCCTTCTTTCTTATTGCAACGTGCCCTGTCCATTTCAGGCTGCCTTTGATACTGGTTGGGAACAAATCAGACCTAGTGGAATATAGTAGTATGGAGACCATCCTCCCTATTATGAACCAGTACACTGAAATAGAAACCTGTGTGGAGGTATGCCTTATTTGATTTTGAAATTTGCTGTTGGTGAATTCTCACAAAACTGAAGTTTGGAACAGGAAAGTGGGAGATGTAGAGGGGATGCATTTCCTGCTGTCGGTGAAGTCTCGTGAACCAAACCAGGGAACTGGAAGTCAGCCTCTGAGCTCTCTGTGGGCAGTCGTCTTGTGATGTCCACTAAGAAAAATGCATTGTTCGGGGAATCTTATTACCTTGTATTGATAGTTTTAAAGTTGTTTTTAGCTCTCATAGTTGCTTTCAGACTGTAAAATTTTAAACTTTTTTTTTTTTTAGTGTTCGGCAAAAAACCTGAAGAACATATCAGAGCTCTTTTATTATGCACAGAAAGCTGTTCTTCATCCCACAGGGCCCCTGTACTGCCCGGAGGAGAAAGAGGTAACCCGCTGGCCCCCAGTGTGTGTTAGTAGGGGATGGAATGTGTAGGTAGGGACTCGGGTATGGTAGAGATTTTTTGGTAACTCTTAAGTATTGTTGTAAGCTTATGAAATTTATTGCTTATTATACTTACATTTTCTAGGTACTTTTCTTCAGGTACTCACATTAAATATTCAGAAAAGTATTCCAGATCAAATACCATTTCACAAAATGGCCTTAAAGCAAACAGAAGAATTAGCAATAACAACCAGAAGTCCAAAGACTTAGCTAAGGGTCTGCTTGCTTCGCTGCTATAAAGTCCACAAACTTAGAAACACACACAAAGGAAAAACTTGTGCAGTTATTTGATGTGGGTCCAACATGTGACACAACTCAGATACTCGTTTTGTTTTTTAGCTAAGAAACACAGTAGTGCCTTCATGAAATATCTAAAATTTAACAGTATTTTGCCATAGAACTTTTAAAATTAATTAATTTTTAAATTAACTCACATGCCATAAAATTCACCCTTTTAAAGTGTACAGTTCAGTGGTTTTTAATCTATTCACCCAGTTGTGTGTTCATCACTATTATCTAATTCCAGAACATTCCATCATGCCAAAAAGAAGTCCTGTACCCATTAGTAGTCCCCCCCAGCTCTCCAGCCCTTGGCAACTAGATACCTGCTTTCTGTCTGTATGGATTTGCCTTCTATGGACTTTTCATACATGTACAATTATACAGTATGTGGTCTTTGTATTTGACTTCTTTCACATCATGTTTTCAGGGTACACCCGTGTTGTAGCACGTGTCAGCCTTTCATTTCTTTCAGTGACTAAATAACACCTCATTGTGTGGATATGTTCCATGTTCTGTTTATCCACTCGTCTGCTGGTGGACTTCTGGATTGTTTCCACTTTTTGGCTATTTTGAGTAGAATTGCTATAAAGATTAACAGACAAGTTTGAATATCTGTTTTCGATTCCTTTGAGTGTATATTTAGGAATGAAATTGCTAGCTCTCCTGGTAATTCTATGTTTAACTTTTTGAGGAACCACTAAATTGGATGAAGTTCCAGTTTTGCCACCTTTGCCAGCACCTGTCATTCATTCCCCTCCAGCCCCTTCTTACTTACTGTAGTCGTCCTAGTAGGTGTGAGCGGTGTCTCACTGTTGTTTTGATTTGTATTTCCCTGGTGGTTAGTGGTGTTGCTCAGCTTCTGAAGTGGTTATTGGCCATTTGTTTATCTTCTTTGGAGAATTGTCTAAGTCTTTTGCCTATTCGTGAGTTGTCTTTCTGCTGCTGAGTTTTTAAGAAATAAAAATGCAGTTTTTTTTCAGAAACAGTTTATACTATAGATGAGTGGTTGGCTGACTTTGACCTGTGGGCCAAATTTGGCCTGCCATTAGTTTTTTGTATAGCCTGTGAGCTAAGAATACATTTTTAAATGATTGAAAAATGTCAAAACAAGTGATGTTTTGGGAAAATTACATGACATTTAGACTCCATCATTCATGAATGAAGTTTTACTGCAACGCAGCCGTACTCGTTCCTTTATGCCTGTCTGTGGCTGCCTTCCTGCTGCAAAGACCAAGTTGAGTCGTGGCAGCAGAGCTTATGTGGCACTTGCGTCACTTCTCAGTGCTGACGTGCGCGGCTGAACTGTTGAGTGCTGCTTGGTGCAGAGCTAACCTCACCGACGCAGTTACAACTTGACAGTATTTCAAGTACTAAGTGTATTACTATACTGTGATGTTTTATTTTATTATCAGTGCTTTACCTGTCCTGCCAAAACAGGATGAGAAAAGTCGATTTTTAGTTGGCAAAGCAGATACATATTCTAAACTCAAATTACGGTTCCAGCAAAGGAAATTTCCATGTTTCATACTCCATTTGACTGCAGTTGAGGAGCTCCTGCCCAGCCTTCCATTGGAACTCATCAGTCTGCAGTGTGATGACACACTAACAGGCAGAAATCAAGAAGAGAATCTAATGTAGTCCTCTAGACACTTCCCAAGCAATGACTGTGCCCAATAAAAATTATGTTTGTGGCTATATATCAGTATTGGCAGTTTATAACTCTTTCAAAGGTAATATATATAAAATCTGATTACACATCAGCATTAACAGATAAACATTTGAAATCAGTTTTTAGGATAGGGAACACTAATTTTTGAACCCCAATTTAGCAAAATGTTAACTCTCCAAAAAGATTTTTATTTTTCTAGTTAGTAGACCTATATAGCAAGTTTATACTCAGTTACTATTATATTTTTAATTCCATCAGTAAAAACTGGAAATTTGATTCTCTCTTGCTGTGTAAGTATCTCCATGGCATTCTTGATTTTGCTTAATTATTTGCTTTGCAGCCCTTTACAAAATGAGTGCTGACCTCTGGTATAAGTGATTAATCTGAGTTGTCCCTCAATCTGACCCTGATTTACTTTTCCTTAATCCTGGTTCACTGACCCTTAATTGGAATACTTCCTTCTAATTTACTCTTAATCCTGAATTTCCCAGATTTGCTTCTTAATCACTAGGCATGCTTATTAAAAACACAGGTTGTGTTCTGATTCAGCCAGGTGCTATATCTTATAATCAAGGAAATTTGGGAAATGGTCTCAGAGATTTACCTCTGAGGCCTCAGGCTAATAGTGGTACATTAAATCCCCCCTACTAGTTTGTTCTCAATTGCGACTCTTTTCTAAATCAATTATTAGTTCTATTAACCAACCCCCTACCCCTCCTCCAATTCCCTGCATAAAATACCACCATCTGTTACTCATTTCTTGGATGAACCTGCCTGAAGTAAAATCTTCAGATCTTTAGAGACTTTCCCTTTTTTACACAAGAACAAGCTTTGAGTCTAAGCCTATACCAGAAACTTTTATTTAGACATCAGTAATACCTTGTAACACAGTTTGGAGTCATCAAGAAGATCATATTAAAAATTAAAGCCTAGACTGCACATATGTTTTCAGTGTTGATGAACTCGGAAGCAGAGGGACCCGTGGAGCCTCTGTTCACCTAATAATGAAAATATGTGACTTCTGTGTAATAATGTTTACTGCGTGGGAGTTCAGATGATGCATGTGGAAAATGAGTTTATTACTGTAAAAAAAATGTTGCAGCTTTTAATGAAATAATTTTTAGTATTTTTTAAAAGGAGTCATTTTTTGGTGTTATATTTTCAGGTGGTTAATATTTCACTGTCATACTGAGCCAGTATCTCTTAGAACACTTTAGCTTCTGATGAGTTTCCAGCTTTCATGAAAAATATATCACTTTATTTTTCTTTGAATTACATTTCTAATGGAGGTTTTTAGGATATGAGGAATAACCAGTTGCACAAAATAAAGTTATTTTTAGATTCTTTTTTTGTATTTTTCTAGCTATTGCTACTTTTTGCAACATTTAGGTTATTATGTAACAATTTTTAAAAGGAGAGTAAATAAAATATAACAATGTAATCATCATTAATCTTGAATATCTAGTATTAGGATCACATTAATAGAAGCAATATCTTCCATTCTTTATTTTTAAACAATTCACCCATGATTGTAGATGTTATACATGATAGTCCACTTAGTACTCTTTTATAAAGGAAGCCCTATCCAGTGCTCTCTAAATGCTTAATTTTTTTTCTCAGTTCTTTCTAATCTCTTTATTTCTTAGGTTTTATCTTTTTCTCATTACATCAAATTGCTCTCCTAGAGACCCCATTTAAAACAAAAAGGGATTGTCTGTGTGTGTTTGGGAAAATAACTGTTTGCGATGTTTAAAGGCATTTCTTTTCTGCATTTGAGTTTGGTAGCATGGTCAGGACTCATCGTTACTGTTTGCTCTGGACGGCCACGTGGCTGAGGTTAATAAGTGCGCGTTTCCTCACCTTGCCGTGTGGTTTCTGTGACTCAGGCGTGTCCGTCACAGACCTGCTTCCAGGTTTACACGGAGCTCCATGATCTTCCCGAAAGATTCGTTTTCTTGCAGTTGTTCACAGTGATTGTCCTGTGGCAGTTACACAAAACGGAAGCTTGTGGGCCTTATTTTAAATAGCCAGATATTTGTTCTATCCATTGTAAATCCTAAAACAAATGTTAAGAAAGTTGTCAAAATATATTTCCAGTAGCCATACTTAAAAAGTTGTATAGAGCCACAAAAGGTGGGATTCTTTTCCAGTGTAACCCTTATCTGATAATAGGAAGCTGGTAAAAGCTTTACATTTACCACCAGCACTGCTTTGCTGCCTGTTTGCAAATAAGCACATTTTATGTCCCGGCTTTGACAAACACACGTGCACGAAACACAGGTTAAAACGCTTAGTTTCATTCTGATACCAGAAGGTGGATGGTCAAAAATCACGAGTTCATTATACCTCGATAAAGCTGAAATTTTTAAAAAAATCCAAAGTTGGGAAGGAAAACCCTCAGTTATATAAATCCACTGAAATTCTTTATGAAATGAGGGAGGGCATAAATAAATATTTCTTTATGTGACTGGGAGAACGAATCTTCTCTAAAGATGAACTACCCTCGGAAGACTCGTGGTCATGAAGGGAGAGTTGGACCGTTCCAAATAGAGATCCTCATTTACTTAAAAAGGTTTGGGTATAGAAGTGAATGGCTTTGCTTCCATTCATTTTTCATGTTGGTTGTATTTGCTGTTACATATATGACAATGAGAACAGCCAGAATTATTCTTAGCCTTACTTAAAGTCATTTGAAAATCCCAACTATTTTAATGAAAACAGTTGTTTGTCTTCTCAATGATTTGCAGATGAAACCAGCCTGTATAAAAGCCCTTACTCGTATATTTAAAATATCTGATCAAGATAATGATGGCACACTCAATGATGCGGAACTCAACTTCTTTCAGGTGGCCTTCTCTTTTTCTGGCATGTGCATATGTTGGTGTTTTGGGGGGGGCGGTGTTTGTTTGTTTTAGCTGAGTAAAGCTATAAGAATTTATTAGCTTAAACAATTAGCTTAAACAATGATATGTTGATAAACTTGAATTTTTTTTATGTAAAACGATCTTTCACATCAAGCTATTTAATTAAGTCTTTGTCTAGGATCAAAATTGTCTTGTGCATAGGAATTAAGGAGACTCTTCGGTAGCTGTATTTTCATGGTGCACAGTGGATATATTAAGGATGACTTGAAGTCTGAACTCTGAATTATTTTTCTTTCTTGATTTTGTATAACATAGATTCACAAAGAGCCCTGTGTTTTAGAAATGTGGTGGGGAGAGTAGGGACAGTTTCTTTCCTTCTAAGTATGACATATTTTACATAAATAAGACAGAGATCATTGTAATATAGAATTTGTTTCTTTTGGTTGTAGCTCACTGATTTAATATTACTTTGTAGATTAATATTTTTGTGTATTATTTGTGGTTTTAATGCCAGTTTTTAAAAAATATATATATTTATTTCTGTATTTATTTTTGCTAGAGAATTTGTTTCAACACTCCACTAGCTCCGCAGGCTCTGGAAGATGTCAAGAATGTAGTCAGAAAACATATAAGTGACGGTGTGGCTGATAGTGGATTGACACTGAAAGGTGAGTGCATGGTGTTTTCCCCTTTTTGAACTTCATAGTTTCAAAATTTGGCATAAGGTGAAAGTCTTTACAGCCATATTTATATTTTAAGGAAATGTTAATATGTACTGGTGTTCCTAAAATCTAACTTGGATATGTAGGAGTTGAAAGAGACAGACTGTTTGGTAGGGATTGTTGTCCTTACTGCTAGCGTAAATTAGAGGAAGGGAATTGGTTAGATCTCAGGAATGTGGAGGCTCATCAGAGGAAAAGAGATTTCTGGTACAAAGAAATTTATCTTAAAGTTTTTTCAACTGATAAGCATCTCAAGTAGAAATTTTTAGGGAGGACATTTTGTCTATCAGTAAAATTTACCAAGTACAAAATGTTCCCTGTAGAATGTGTGATAGAATCACAATAAAATAAATGAAAACCAGAATATTGTATTATAAAACACAAAGATCTATAAAACAGTTTCCTTTGTTTTTATCATATAACTTTGTGAATGTCAATACATTCCTTGGGATATGTTTTTGGCTCTTCCATCCAGGGTCTTCTCTTGCTGGCCTGGGTGTTACGTGAAATGATTCTGAAATCAGCTCTGTTTTTATTGAGACACTTGTGATTTTGTTTTTATTTGACCTTCAACATGCAAAACTTGTGTGCATATGTTTATGAATGTAGCTCTTGCCATTATGTGTTCCATGCTTTTCTCCCATGGATTCTGTGCCCTTTCTCACATCAACTGTATTTACTAATTCATTTTATTTCAGGTTTTCTATTTTTACACACACTTTTTATCCAAAGAGGGAGACACGAGACTACTTGGACTGTGCTGCGACGATTCGGTTATGATGATGATCTGGATCTGACACCTGAGTATTTATTCCCCTTGTATGTACCTTTGGCTTGCTCATTGATTTCACTTGCCAAGTATTTTCAAGTTTTATTTAGCACATAGGAAGGCATTAAGGTACTCAGGAATAATTTAGATTTATAGAGCGGTTTATAACAAGGTTTCTCAACCTCAGCTTTATTGACACTTTGGTCTGGATAATTCTTTGCTGTAGAACCAGTCCCATGCATTACAGGATGTTTAGCACCTCCTTCCCCCGCTGTGACAACCGAGAATGTCTAGCATCTCTAGAAACTGCCGAATGTTCCCTCAGGAGTGAAAATCATGCCCACTGATTTATAGCATGGCTCACACTTTTCCTTTTCTCATGGAAAATAAAAGAATTTTTTTAAAATTCATTCTACAACAAATTTTGAAATCAATGAATTTTGCAGTGTTTTTGAAATCAGGAGAGAAGTATTGATATATTGATTAGCTTTTTTTTTCATTAGTCCTTCTCCTCCCTCTGTTTTTTTTCTTTTTTTAAGATTTTGTTTGTTTATTTTTAGACAAAGGGGAAGGGAGGGAGAAAGGGAAGGAGAGAAATATCACTGTGTGGTTGCCTCTCATGCACCCCCTACTGGGGATCGGTCCTACAACCCAGGCATGTGCCCTGACTGGGAATCGAACTGGCAACCCTTTGGTTTACAGGCTGGTGCTCAATCCACTGAGCCACACCAGCCAGGGCTATAGCCTGTTCTTAGCTCAAAATAAAATAATGATTTTTCCTTAATATCAGTCTATTTGTGGTTATTTTCCTTTAGATAATGCTATTGTAAGTTCTGTTTGTTTAAAAGTGGACCCCGAATCACCCCAAAACAGGAGACTCCCTTGCTGTAGGATGGCACTCCTGTAACAGGGAAGTGACTGCCCAGTATCTAGCCTTTGAGGCTTCAGCCTCTTCTTCACTTTTCTAGCATGTAATCTTCATGATGTCCTTCTTCGTGTTAGCATAGCGCCTCTAGCTGTGTAAGCATTCAGAAAGGCTTTGTTGTGTTTTTCTTCCCCCATCACTGAGGAAGCAAAGTTCCTTCTCGTTGGATATCTGGTCCATTAATCAGTTCTGAGTTGAAACCTCTCTTGTCAAAGTTATTAAATCTTGGTTCAAGTAATTTTCCAGATTTTTCAATAAATCTGTATTAAATGAATGTTTGGGTTTGTTCCAGGACCTTTTGTAGTTTTCTGTGCCACTTACGTGGGGTGATAAATTATATAAGGGGTTGCTTATTGCTTTCTTAAGTATGGCAGTGAGGAAACACCATTTCTTAAGGCTTTGTGGCTTACACTCTTCTCTCTTTCAATTTCTTTATGTTATCTGCCTTGAATTTTCTGCAGAACAGCCTCTCAGAGCCACCACTTGAAGCTTTCTAGCTTTCTTATTACACTTTCTACCTCTGTCCTTCACACTGCTGCTAGATTAAAAAGATACATAAGTACAGATTTGGCCATGGCACTTCCCCTCAAGACAGGATAAAGCCCAAGCTTCTTAACATGGTATACAAGGTCATTCATGATCTGCTCATGCTCACTCCCTGCCTTTATTCTAGAAGTAAATACTGAACTATTTATAGTCCACCAATCATGTTGTTTTCTACTCAAGGCTTTTGCCCTTGGTATTTTCACTCTCTCTCTCCTTCTCCCCTCAAATTAATGCCTCTTGTCTTTCAAGCCTTAATTCAGGTAACAGCATCCCTCAGCAGTGCTGACACCTTTCCACCCCTAAGCTGGAGACGTTCTGTTTCCTGGGGGCTGCCCCAGCGTTCTCAGCTGACCCACACTCAGCCTGTGCTCTAGTTCCGTTGAGGTAGTGCGGTTATCTGTTTGTGGTTCTTCTCGCACTTGAATGTGGTTTCTTAGAGGAGGAAGCCTGTCTTGTTTTTGTGTCCCTAGTACTTAGCTCAGGGCATTTGATAAATGTTTGCTGAACTAAATTTAGGGTGGGTCAGCAAGGTCAAATCAGCCAGAAATATGTCTTTTTACATCATTTTCAGTTCATTACAGTGTTGGCATAATTACGACTTACAACTTGTTTTTATATAGGAGGAGCAAACTCATTACAGTTTGATCAGTATTATTTGTAAAATTTTTATTTCAACCTGCTCTTACATATGTTTAAGAAAACCTTACATGTCACCTGGGAATGAGCGTTACTGTGACCCTTGAGGATTGCTGTGCCCCTCTAGTGACTTTTCCCAGGAAAAATCTGAATGGCTCCAGCAGAGACATTTTGTAAATGGCATTATCCCACAAAAAGATTTACCACAGTTTTATATTCATTTCTTAAATTAAATTTTAATATTTGATTAATGATTTGTTTTACTCTTAAATTTTTTCATCAACAGGCTAAAAATACCTCCTGATTGCACAACTGAATTAAATCATCATGCATATTTGTTTCTCCAAAGTACCTTTGACAAGCATGATTTGGTAAGCTTGTAGCTGCAGTTTTCCTTGGTAAAATATTTTTCAGTGAGCATTTAATAACTGTGTTCCCTTAGCTATGGGGTACTTATGTCACAGAGCCAAAAATTGCGTATACTCTCTTAAGTTAAACTAGCAAAAATACTTTCTTTTATTTATTTACTTTTACTTTTTCGAGATGAAAAGGTCTGGTTTTTATAGACTCTTCTATAAGTTTTCTTATATACGTGTAAGAAATTTTCTTGATAAAATGTAAAATTTCTTGTCATGCGTTAGTTTTTAGAAGCATAGATTTACTAGACTGGGGGCTTTTGTGTTTGGGAATTATTGGCTTAGATATCTAAACATTGTGTGCACTTCCTTGTGTATCTTCAGGATAGAGACTGTGCTTTGTCACCTGATGAGCTTAAAGATTTGTTTAAAGTTTTCCCTTACATACCTTGGGGGCCAGACGTGAATAACACAGTTTGTACCAATGAAAAAGGCTGGATAACCTACCAGGGATTCCTCTCCCAGTGGACGTGAGTATAGAGCTCATCTGTTTCCTCTGAAGTTACCACTAGTTTAGAAATACAGTGCATTACATGAATCATTTGCAAGTTTCCCGATCTTAGAAAGTGCTTCAGTTATAATAAGCAGGCTTTATAGTGCTGCTATCTCTAAGATTAACTTTAGATGTTCTAGAAATTTATCAGGAAGGGATGGATCTGTTTGTTTTTGGATGATGTACAGGGAAACGGTTATAAGTCTCACATCAAAAATGAGCTAAATTTTAATACTTTTTTGATTAAGAGAATTGGAAACATCATTGCTACTGCACAATTCTTACACCTTCAAAATATGGGGAGAGCATATTTTACTTCACACTGAAGACTTAATTTAAGGGTTTTTTGCTGTTTGTTTTTAATGTATTCTTAGTGAGGGTTTGTCTACAGTCTGGGTACAGCTTAGTTGCTGTTTTATCTCGGGTGCTAAGAAAATCTTCTGGTCATGTATGATTTAATTGTATGAACTCATGTAATTACGTTTGTCTTGGTGACTAACTTTTTGAATGCCAGAATGTATTCTTTTTCAAATCATAAAATAAACTGAGTTCAAGTACGTTTCTGTTATTTTTGCTCCTTTCACAAACCTTTTCAGATTTAAATAAGTTCTCAACTAGCCATTAGTTGCAGTATACTGTGTTTGTGTTGGCCAAAAAGTCTGTAAGGTTTTTTTCTCTAAAATAAAAGACACATTTTTCATTTCCACCAATAACTTTATTGATGTGGATATTTTGAGTATGTTGGCTGTCTCCCATGTGGTATAATGTTGATTGTTCTCAATTAGTGTCTTGGTTTGATCATTATTAATTTCAAGCGGTCTACCCAACCATGGAACATTTTCCAGTGAGAAATCTCTAGCATGAAATTTCACAAACCACTTTTGACACATTTGATCAGTCACAGCACCTTCTCCATGCACTGCACAAAACTTTTGGTTTGCATTTTTACCTTTTTTGAAATAATAAAGCTTAATATACTGAAAATTGCTTATTTTCTTTCATCTTTAATATTAAAATGCCTGCACAGAAATTCACCAATTTGATCATTTTTTTAATGATGCTGATGTGACAGCTGTTACAAATATAATCTAACAAAATTGTTTTGAATGAAGTTAAAGATGACTGTAAGTGCTACTAGGGCCATCTTATGGAAAAAACCTAAACTTTTTGGCCAGCCCTAACTTGGGAAGCAGATTATATAAAAAATCCCAGCTCTAGATTTTACCAGCAGCTCACTGCTTGTGTATGTGGCCTTAATTTCTCTGGGCAGGTGGAGCAGATACAGGAATCCCTCCATGTCTTAGATTCTCCTGCCTTCTTGGCCCTAAGAAGAGCATTGTAGAAAAAATCGTGGTTGGGCGAATGGGAAATTAAAGTAGTCTGATAAAACTTATCTGGGTCTGGTGGTAAAATTACTTGAGCTACTGGCATTTTCTTTTCTATAAATGTTCATTGAGGAACTTCTCGCGTCTTAAACTCTTCTGTCTCCCAGGCTCACGACCTATTTAGACGTGCAGCGGTGCCTGGAGTACCTGGGCTACCTGGGCTACTCCATACTGACCGAGCAAGAGTCTCAGGCCTCAGCACTTACAAGTGAGTGTCCAAGTACTGATTAGTAAAAAAAAAATTAGAAAAATTTTTAAGATTTTACTTCTATATGTAAAAGTGAAAATAAATATGTCTTTGCTTGTTGTTGTGTCTACATTCTCATTTGTTTTCCTTGTGACTAGGTCATTTCCTTCTAGTTGAGAGGCTTGATTTTACTGTTTATCGAAAAAGGAAAAGTAGAGGTTTTACTTCCAGTTTACCCCTGAGGTTACTCCACGGATAAATCAGGGAGGGCCATGAGCATTCAAAGTATGGTTTGTCCTGTTTTAATTTTCTTTGAACATTAAAAACAATGCCAATAACACATGATCCTGGTATTGAACTGATAGTACATATCTCAGCCTTTGTTCCATTTTCCACACTAATCAGTTTCTCACAAATCTTGTAATTCTTGCCAAGCAGTGTCCTCCACTTAAAAAAAACCCACGGTATGGAAATAACACACTAGGGAACTGATATTTGAAGAGTTTCTTATATCCTAATTGGTGAGGAAAAAATGCCATATCTTTCCTAATTGGTGAGGAGAAAATGCTGTATCTTACAGGAAGCTTCAGCATAGGAAGACAACTAATGTTAAATTGACAGAGCAAATACCCTTTAACACTTAACCGATTAGACAGTATTTAATTCAGCATCAAAGAGTAAGGAACTAATTGCTAGCCAGCGTGAGGTTTTTTTATGCAACAAAATACTGTGGACATCTTTCTGTATCTCTAATTATGCTTTTATATATCTTTAATGGTAAATAATGCGTCATCATATGGATGCTTAGTTACAATTGAATCTTTTAAGCTACAGCTTAAGAGCTCTTTATCTCAGGGAGAGATCCCATTGCTCTGCTGATACAGCATCATTTTCTGGTCTGCCTCTTTTACAGATTTACATTTTGAAAGGCCAGTGAACCCCAGAGTGCATATCCCTTTGCCATTTATAGATCCAAGAGAGTGCAGATTTGAGAGAGCATCTTTGAGTTTGTAACTTGTTATGACATACAAGTTGCAAACTCAAAGATACATACACACACAAAATCAATGAAATATAAGGTTGACTATATTTATTGTAATTTGAATTCATTTTAGGATATCATTTTCCTTATGAAAGTATACTAATTTTACGATTAAATACATTTCATTTGGTTACTAAAAGTTCATTTTATAGCCAGCTTTCAGAAATGCAGCTTTTCTAGTAGGTGAGGCCTTTCTGTATTATATTTAGTACTTTTTTAAAGTATATTTTAGTGATTATGCTATTACAGTTGACCCATTTTTTTCTCCCCTTTATCCCTCTCTGCCCAGTACCTCCATTCCCTCCAGCATTCCACCCCTCGTAGTTCATGTCCATGGGTCGTACATACAACATCTTTGGCTTCTCCATTTCCTAGGCTGTTCTTAATCTCCTCTTGTCTATTTTCTGCCTACTCTTTATGCTTGTTATTCCCTGTACTTTTTCCCTCATACTTCCCTCTCCCCCTTCCCAATGGTAACCCTCCATGTGACCTCTGTTTCTGTGACTGTTCCTGTTCTAGTTGTTTGCTAGTTTGTTTGTTTTTTTAGGTTCAGTTGTTGATAGTTGAGTTAGTTGTCATTTACTATTCATAGTTTTAATCTTCTTTTTCTTAGATAAGTCCCTTTAACATTTCATATAATAAGGGCTTGATGATGATGAACTCCTTTAACTTGACCTTATCTGAGAAGCATTTTATCTGCCCTTCCATTCTAAATGATAGCTTTGCTGAATAGAGTAATCTTGGATATAGGTCCTTGCATTTCATGACTTTAAATACTTCTTTCTAGCCCCTTCTTGCCTGTAAGGTTTCCTTTGAGAAATCAGCTGATGTCTTATGGGAACTCCTTTGTAGATAACTGTCTCCTTTTCTTTTGTTGCTGTTAAGGTTCCCTCCTTATCTTTAGTCCTGGGTGACAATTATGATATGCCTTGGTGTGTTCCTCCTTGGGTCCGATTTCTTGGGAATCTCTGGACTTCCTGGAAATCTATTTCCTCCGCCAGATTGGGGAAGTTCTCTTTCATTATTTGTTCAGATAAGTTTTCAATTTCTTGCTCTTCCTCTTTTCTTTCTGGCACCCCTATGATTCCAATGTTGGAATGTTTAAAAGTTGTTCCGGGGGTTCCTAAGCCTCTCCTCATTTGGTTTAATGTTTATTTCTTCCTTTTGTTCCAAATAGTTGATTTGAGTCCCAGTTTCCTTCCCTTCACTGTTGGTCCCCTGTATATTTTTCTTGATTCCACTTTGTCTAGCCTTTACTTCTTCCTTTATTTTGCAGCCATACTCAATCATTTCTCTGAGCATCCTGATAACCAGTGTTTTGAACTCTGCATGTGATAGGTTGTCTATCTCCTTGTGGCTTAGTTCTTTTTCTGGAGTTTTGATCTGTTCTTCCATTTGGGCCATGTTTCTTTGTGTTAGCACACCTGTTCTATTATAAGGGGTGGAGCCTTAAGTATTCTCCAGGGTGGGGCAGACCAGTTTGCTGCACTGTGGCACTGTGTGGGGGTGGAGTGCTCAGAAAGGGAATAGTGCCACTTGGTTGGTTCTCGCCATGCTTTCAGTCACTTCCCATACTACTCATAAGCAAATTGGGCCCTTCTGATTCCTGGGTGGGTGGGTTTGTGTACATTCTAGGACCCTGTGGGTCTCTCCAACGGACTGTCCTGTGAGTCTGGCAGTATCTCCCACAGCCACAACCCCCACAGGTTTTTACAGCCAGAGGTTCTAAGGCCTTGTCTTGCCTGTGCTGGAACCCTGGGTTGCACAGTCTGTCTTGATCCCCAGTTGTTCCCGGAATGTAGGACCACCCAGTCCACCGGCAGGGCCCTGCCCACCCAGTCTGCCAGCCGCTGCCTTGCTGTGTATCCTCTCTACACCAGCTTCTGGTCTCCGCCCCTCCTAAGCCTAGATGAATGTTTCTTCTTCTTTAACTCCTCGGTTGTCAGACTTCCACAAAGTTAGATTTTCTGGCAGTTTCTAGTTGCTTTTTGTTTTTAAATTGGTTGTTATCCTTCTTTTGGTTGTGCAAGGAAGTGAAGCATATCTACCTATGCCTCCATCTTCTTTATATAGTACCTTTATTTCACACACATCTTGACTTTTGTACGGTATGTTTATTGATAGAGGTGGTAAGTAGTAATACCCTATTATGCAGAAGGTAAAATGGAGGCTCAGTGAGTCTCAGTGGTACCTAAGTAGGTTCTTTTTTTCTTTTTAGTAACAAGAGATAAGAAGATAGACCTTCAGAAAAAACAGACCCAAAGAAATGTGTTCAGGTGTAATGTAATTGGGATGAAAAACTGTGGAAAAAGTGGAGTTCTTCAGGCTCTTCTTGGAAGAAACTTGATGGTAAGAATTCTCAGAATTTTTTATACTCACAAGTTTACATATTTTTTATAGCCATTAACCTTATTAGATGATCACTAGAATTCAGTGACCAATGTATATTATTAGTACAATCTAAAGTGTAACAATAATCTTATTGACCTGGCTTTATACTTTGTTTTGTTTTGTTTTGTTTTACTCTTTATTTTTAATATACTTTCTTTTTTATTCAATTTGTTGGGGTGACATTGGTTAGTAACATTATATAGCTTTCCAGTGCACATTTCTATAATACGTCATCTGTATATTGTATTATGTGTTCATCATTCTTCATTTTTTTGATGATATTAGCTATCATTTGCCCTTTTTTTAAGCCAGTGTTTAGATGAGGATTGAATGAATGCACATGTGAAAGCCCCAACAGTGCTTGGCATGAAGTAAATGTACAGTGAATACTTCAAATTGAATACTGAAATCTAATTCTGACTACTGCTTCTTCGAGTAGGGGGATGGACGTTATTTCCAGATGAGTCTCATATCAGATGAAATTACAATGTAATGAGAATTGCCAGCAGGGGGCTCTGGAATACAATTTCAGTAATGGTGTTGACTTCCTTTCCAGCTACTGCTTTCACTCTGTGCTGAACAGATGCGCCTTTTGTCTTAGACCTTAAGAACTAAGAAACATAAAGTCCATTTCCCCTTCGTACTCATAAATAATACATAGTGTAGGGAAGAATGCCCTCTTATTTATGACAGACCTGCAGGTATAGGTATTGATGACAATGAGATACTGTAATATCTTACTGTAAATACTGAACATTTCGGTTATTTTCAGAGGCAGAAGAAAATCCGTGATGACCATAAATCCTACTATGCGATTAACACTGTTTATGTGTATGGGCAAGAGAAGTACTTGTTGGTAAGAAATTCTATGGAATATAAAAATTATTAATTATTTTGTATGTTTTTAAAAGCCTCTTTGAAAACTAGTTAGGTTTGATTTAATAGCTGTACATGGAACTTTTGTGTGATTTTTTTTCCCACTGAAATTGATTTTAACTCCCTTGATATGTTTGGTGATTACATGGGTATAGCTGTAAGTAAAATGCATCTATTTGTGTGCTTAGTTGTATGTTATACTACAATAAGAAAGTAAAAAAAGAACTTTCTACTTCTTCTTGCACTTTTGTTTTTAAAAAGTTATCCTCTTCTCTTAATTAGAAATTAATATGAAAAACTTAGTGCAAGTGCTTGGTGTAATGTATGTTTGACCTGAATCGAATCTTACCTATTTAGCAGGGAAGGGACATAGTTAACAAATGCGTGAGCCTAAAAAAACGAGGGGAAGAAGAGCGTTACTGAAAGGGGACTGTGAGACACAGGGAAGGAGAGCATGGGTTGTCCAGCCACACTTCTGAACACTTCTCTGAACAGAGCTAATCGGCCCAGCACTGATTAGCTCTGTCACCTCCAGCAAGTGGCTTCCTTCCTCTGAGCCCAAGTCTCTTACTAAGTTAGCTAGTCTGAGAGACTCCTAACAAGTGATAGGTACTAGAAAAAGCCCATTCCCTCTCTTTTTCTTTTTGGAAATAATTTATTCTGCCAGACAAATGATCAGTTGAATTTTATACGTATTTTACTCTTTATGGTAAAAGTTTTGTCAGTTTCTTATTAAACCTAGTTTATCCCTCTTCTTTTCCTACTAGTTCTGCCTAGTGTGTACTCAGTAAATACTGCTGACTGTTAGCTTTCCTGCTTTTATTCTTCTATTATTCTTCGTAAATTGGTATCTTTCATGTCTGAATACGCATGCTATATTCTGTTTTATTTGGAATATATTGAGTCACTTCTGACACTACACTTCCCCTTTCTTCTCCTCTACAAAGAGGCACTACCTTATATAACTTGGTACTGAATTTCATCTTGTTGGATCATCACCATATCATAGATGAGATATTTCTTCAGAAATTTTATAGTTAACATTGAAAAAGTGTAGGCAATAAAGTAGAACAGGAAGACTACAGTGCAAAGAGTTCCTTGCTTTGTGTTTTTGATTGGTGGGAAGAAAAGTGATGCAGAAAGAAAATAGGCTCGGAGTCATATCTATGTTCACTTTTTGGTCTAGTGATTTGTTAGATGCGCTATCTTAGGCAGTTGACTTAACCTTGTTGGCCCGTCTTTCTGTCTGTGGAATGTAGAGAATGCAGGTGAAAGGCCTGCCCAGAGCACTTCAGTCACTCAGTAAACGGCAGCTTCTGTAGACCTTAATCACCTTTTTAATTCACAAAATCAGAAGCTACTTGTTTATCTGCATTTCCTACTTCTAAAAATGGCCTGAAAATTAATGCGTAACTAGTATTTTTAAAATTAGGAACAAGTTAAACAAGTAATTAAACATCATGACTTTCATTATACATTGATATTATGATATTTGTTTCTCATTATCTTTTTCTTTTTACAGATGCATGATATTTCAGAATCGGAATTTCTTACGGAGGCTGAGATCATTTGTGATGTTGTGTGCTTGGTATATGATGTCAGTAACCCCAAATCCTTTGAATACTGTGCCAGGATTTTTAAGGTTTGTTTCTCTTTTGGTCTGTAACTGAGTTTAACTTTATATGGAGTTTAATGGAATTGTAATGTGGTGTTGTCTAACCAAGAAAATCATTCATGAAGCTTTTTGAAAACACATACATCTGTGTTGTTTCTAAACATTCTCATTTTATTCTGAGGCAGTAAGGTGCTAGACATTTGTGTTTTTAAAAACATTTTCTCCACACATGACTCTGATGTGCATTCCTGGTTATGAAGTTCTGTATTAATGGAAGCTCCTCTTGGCTGTTAGCAATGCACATGGATTATATGTTGCCATTTACCTCAAGCATAATTATAGAGCAAGGGGAGAAACAAGAGGCTTGAAAAGTTACTAGTCACTTTGAGATAATCAATAAGAATTAATTAGAGTAAAAAACTATATGTTGCGCTTAACAATAACCCACAACCTTCAGACCAACTAAAGCAAAAAACTATGTGTTCAAAGGAATTTATTCTAGCATTGTTTTTAGTAGCAAAAAACTAGAAGTAATTCAAATGTCTAAGAATAGAAGGATGCTTTACCAAATTAAGATAAAATAATCCACCCTGGCCAGGTAGTTCAGTTAGTTATAGTGTCCTCCTGATACACCAAGGTTATGGGCTCGATCTCCAGTCAGGGCACATACAAGAAGCAACCGATGTATGCATAAATAAGTGAACAAATTGTTGTTTTTCTCTACCTCCCTCTCCTTCTTCCTCCCTCTTTCCTTCTAAAATCAATCAATCAATTTTAAAAAATGATAAAATAATCCAGCGGACTATTAAGCAACCATTAAAAATAATGATTTTGAATTCTGAAAACATGGTAGATTCAGTATTATACATTTTGAAATGTTTATATCCAGCATGACTGCAACTACATAAACATAGTATATAAATGCTTGTGCTTAATGACTAAAGGTAGTACAAAGACATTATGCTCTGCCCTGGCTGTTGTGGCTCAGTGGATTGAGTGCTGGCTTATGAACCAAAAGGTCACTGATTGAATTTCCAGTCAGGTCACAGTCTGGGTCATGGTCCAGATCCCCAGTAGAGGGCATGCAAGAGGCAACCATTGATGTTTCTCTTCCTTTCTTTCTCCCTCCCTACCCTTCTCTCTAGAAATAAAATCTTAAAAAAAAAAAAAAGAAAGTAGTATGTTTTAGGGTAGAGGAATTGACATGCATTTTTTAGGTGGATTTCTTTTTATTTCAAAATACTGTATCTTTTTAAGAAAAAAATTTTTTTATTTTATTGAATCTGAAGAGCATTACAGGTTTACATTGTTATTGGCATTAGAAAAGTGGCCCCGGTCTTATGAGACTGACCTGGACTGCTGCCAGTCTTTGCCTCTTAGTTCATTTGCTCTTTGAAATTATTGACACTTTTCCTATCCAGAGAAAAGTTTTAGTACACGTTTAATTAAACTGAGTGATTTTTGAACTTGTCATCAGATTTTGATTTCATTTTTTATTCCATAGCAACACTTTATGGACAGCAGAATACCTTGCTTAATCATAGCTGCAAAGTCAGACCTGCATGAAGTTAAACAAGAATATAGTATTTCACCTACTGATTTCTGCAGGAAACACAAAATGCCTCCACCACAAGCCTTCACTTGCAATACTGCTGATGCACCCAGTAAAGATATCTTTGTTAAACTGACAACAATGGCCATGTACCCGTAAGTACTTGCTCTGTCACCATTTTCATGTTGCATGGTTCATAACAACATTGCATGCCATTATTAGCCATGAGGGTGGAATCTTTCTTTGTCACATAGAAGTTGTTCAGCAACAGAAAGAGACTTTGTAATGAGAAGGTACAAATTTGAGTAAATGCAAGCTTGGTTTGGGTGCCATAATATTATATAAACATTACTTCTAACAGCATTTGTGTATTTTTGAGCAGGCTGTAACTATATTAATAGGATAGTACAATAAAATTCAGCCCCTCACCCAGCATTTAAAAAAAACAGTAGTCTTACTGTAATAAAATGAGTTGGCACATGTTGCTCTATGCTTATAAGGCATTTCCATGTGGAAAAAGTTCATTTTTATACTTTCATGTCAACTAATTGACCTTAAGTGTGTGAAAGATTCTAAAATCTTTTATTTAAATTATGGGTATGTTTGAGTTCAGGACATAATGCCTTTTTTAAGTGCTCTGAAAGGTAGTTGGAATTGGAATTTCTCTATATGAATGTTTCCCATTGTGTTGTGCTGCAAGTGTTGTGTACATTTATTGCATATCTGCACATGCATGTGCACAAGCACATACCTGTGGCCACCGCCATGGCTGGCTGGCTGCCTTAGGACTGCATGGCTGCCAGTGACCTTCTCCTCCAGTGCTGTGTGTAAATTCTGTTTTGTAACGAGATAGTTTTTCAGGCAGTGCGTTTCTCAGGACTTTATAGTTCATTCTATTTATGATTATATTATTCTCTAAATTATTTTTCTTATGGAAACTACAGTATGAAATAGAGTAGTCATACAGTGCTATAAACTGAGGTTTTTCAGAAAGTTATTAATTTGTTACAGATTTTTTGAGTCAAAGTTAACTGTATTGCTGTTTCATTGACTAATTAGTACTTTTAAAAATGCAGTAAACCCTTGAAATTCTATTTATGTTGGAAGACAGGCCATTTCTATTACTGTAAGATACACACAACCTTATTTATTATGTGTTTCACCTTTACTTTAAAACTCTCATGTATGTTATCTACAGAGAGGATCATTACAGAGACAGACTCTCCCGAGGCACGGGCAGCACTGATAGAATAGAGAATTTGAGAAAAATCTGGGTCTTTCTAAAAACTGCTTTGTAAGTTACTTTTTCCTTACGGCTTCGGTGGGATTTTGTTGATATTTTCTTATAGATGAGCAAATCTCCTTTCTTGCCATAATTAACATTTAGTAATTAGTCAGAAACGCACTGCTTGGTCAGGCTTACTGCCTAACTGTATATTATGGTGTCTTTTTTTACTGTATAAATGCACTATTTTAATCTTGTAAACAACTGCAACTGTGTTTTTAGATCTGCATCTTGAAAACATTTTACTGCAATTTGTGTGTGTGTGTATGTGTGTGTATATATGATAAATGTACATACTTGGATACTTGTCCATATGGTTAATCCCAAACTCCTTCTCATGAAGCCATCTCCCTGTTGCTAAGCATACTTTGCATCCCTCCTCTTGGTGGGTGGAGCCTGTATATGTTGAAGAGTCAGATTCAATTTATAAAATAACAGATGGATTCCAGTATGACAGCTGGTAGTGACTTAGTAGCAGTTATATGTTCATCATCACAAGTAAAGTTTTAAAAAGGAATGTCTTGAGCCTGTAAGAGTTTTTTAATAAATTAATTCTTGTTTTTTTTTTTATGTTGGGAACTAGGCATTATTGGGATGCTGTTAATCTCCACAACCATGCCACCTTGCGCTGTGGTCTCACCAGATCTTACAAGCTAAGCCAGTCAGAATGGGCCAGTCCTTTGACTGAGAAGCCTCTAAAAAATGTTCAGGTGTTACAGGAAGTGATGGCATTGATTCATCAGGTGGCGCTCTTCTGAGGGGGTTCTGCGCCAGTGCCTCTTCAGGGGTGGTGTGGTGGCTTTGTACGTCTGCGTGGCTCTGACCACTGAACAGTCATTGGAGACCCCCTGCTTCGGTTGCTAGGGCGGAGGTGAAGCGGGTTGCCCCACGTGCCTGTACCAACTAGTGCAACTCCACTCAACCAGAAAGGAGTCAGAAAGCTTCCCTAAATTTCATACCTAATACCAATTGGATCCATTGTTGATTTTTACATTCTCACCCAGAGTTTCATGCTATCATCCTTAGCTACTGTGTTTTAGTAGCAGATGAAATTAACCCTGTACTTTGTTCAAGATGAAGCCCTTTGATTTCCTTTGGGAACCAGAGTGCTTGATAATTGAAAACAGTGTTGTTCATATCTCATCAGGGTTGAATATACCCATCTTTTGGCTTTTTTGTGTATTTGTCACTCTTCTCCTTCCTGGTTTTCAGGCATGTGTGTATGCTGAGGGAGGAGGAGGAGGGGATGGTTATTTAAATGTTAGCAAACTTGTCCATTTGGTGGGTGGTATGGCTTACTCAGTTTTTCTTTTTATTAATTTAGATGAGGGTGCCATCTATTGCTGTGCATATTTATTCCACTATAACTCTTGGAATAATAATTCTAGCCCCCCTTGTCTTTAGATTTCCTATAGGGAGGGAGGTGGGAGCTATGGCTATTGACTGTATTTTTGATATATGTGGAATTCTGCACAACTTTAGCATGCCCCACACTATCCTTTTCCTTAGTGTTGCTTATGCCTAAGCCTTTTTTTTTAAGTTGGCACACCCTGACTTGTGCCGTATTTGTAAGTAAGAACTCAACTCCTGTCCTTCTGTGTGTTTTCGCAGCCATGCCCGGTTACGCTGTATGTGCACCTGCAACAGGTGTACATTTTGCATCTGTCAGAACTTCCTCAACTCAGACTTGCTGCAATCTGTAAAGAACAAAATCTTCACTGCAGTTCTTAACAGGTTCTTAACTTTATTTACTGGGTACCAGGCATTCTGTTAAAATACAAAAGGAAACAGTGGATACCTGTTTATTATATAGATACTCACCGCAAACACAACGAGCTGACTGATGCCCAGCTACCTTCCACTAGAATTCTCACTGTGGTGGCGTGTTCAGAATTGGAATCATTCTTAATGATGCCTTCAAATTAATAGATATGTTTAGGGCGCTGTGAGAGTTTAGGTGTTCTTTTTTCATTAAGGGAATTAAAGTATCTTTTGTATTAGAGGATAATATGTATAAGATTAAAATCTTTTGGCTGAGAGTTGTAGAAATAGATTAGGACATTTGTAGTGAGGAAAAGAAAGACATGTTGATCCCAAATGTTATACTGTATTTAGCTTACACTCAAATAATACCACTTACTAAAACCATAGTAATGTGAACAATATCTTGGGTTTGAAAAAATTATCTGTCGTAAGAACCTGGAATATTTACTTGAAAGAGCTTGGTTTCTGGAAATGAGGATAATAACCAACTTGAAGGATTCAGAGGAATATGGAAAAGAAAAAAGATCTATAGTACTAGTTTTTGAGGTCTTTATAATTGAGTCCAAAATATGGCATATGCCTAGAAAGTAATATACTTTGATAAAAGAAAGAAAAATACATTCCCTCAAAGCAATGAACTTGGGAGGTTATATTCTTATTTTGGTAATGCTACGTTAGTTCAAATTGATTTTACATTTTGGGGGCAATCAAGAGCCTGTATAGTATTAATTTTCTCTCTGATGTCAAATTTTTTATGTATCTAAGGATGAATTAGGATTCTGAAATCATTCCAATGTCACTGTCATCTGGGCTTAATATGGTGGGCCTGCCTATGACACAGCAAGACTGTATCTTATGTGAGCCAGAAACTGACTACGAAAGCTTTCTGAACGAGTTTTGATGAGGTTTCGAGCACTAGCAACTCTGGAATGAGAATGTAGCCATCTCAGGCGACTGCTTTGAAGGGATTACCACCCTCATTTGGTGGTAAAGTTCTGCCTCTATCCTTTGAATGGCACCTCATAAAGCAGTAGTACAGATTTTCCCACGACAACTGTGAAAAACTGCAGGCTAGTTCAAACCAAACAATGTTCAGGAGCTCTGATTTGGGAGTGGTAGAGTTGGAAGAGATTCTAAAATCCTTCTGGCCTAACTTCCTATTAAAATGCCTTCCTGAGAGACTGCTGTTTATCTGCTGATGGCTTTCCTCATTGGAGAGGGTTTTGCTTTTGCTTTTTTTTTTTTTTTTAACTAAAATGATTTCCCTATAACTTTCTTTCCTTTAGTTTTAGTTCTGCCCTTTAGAACAACATACGACTATTCTACTCCCTCTTCAACATAGCAATCCTTCAGACATTTGAAGACGGCCATCATGCCTCCCCTAATTTTCTCTTCTCCAGGTAGAACATCCCCATTTCTTTCAGCCTTTTCTTAAATTCGATGTTTTAGTGACTTCATCACTCCTGGTTGTCCTCATCTCAAAGCCCCTTAGGGTTTTTTTGTTTTTTTTTTTAATTTATTTATTTTTAGAGAGAGGGAAGGGAGGGAGAAAGGGAGAGAAACACTGATGTCTGAGAGAAACACCCATCAGCTGCCTTTCCCAGTCCCCCCAGCCAGGGACCTGGCTCACAACCCAGGCATGTGCCCTGACTGGGAGTCAAACCAGTGACCTTTCTGTTTGCAGGCCGGTTGGTGCTCAATCCACTGAGCCACACCAGCCAGGGCAAAGCTCCTTAAGGCTTTTAGAGTACCTCTTGAAAGGTGACACTGCGAATGGAGATTAGTGCTCCAGGTATGATCTGACTTGTGTTCCACAGTTAGGACAGCACTTATCTATTGCGTGACTTAACGTTTTAGCAGTCCCTGCTCACTGTTGATGCACATTAATCTTGGGGTTAATTGAAACCAGATATTTTCCAATTGAAGTGCTGTTAAGACAGTGTCTCCTCCTCTCTAAGTATATATCTGCCATTTTTAGTTGACTCTTTGAATCTAATTGCAGATACATATGTATCTCTTTTAAATGTCATTCTTTTTGATCCATTTGTTCTAACTCAGTCATTTCAAACATTATTTTTATCATTTGTCCCATTATATATCTCTCTCAGCATTGTGTTACTTGCAGATTTGGTAGATCTGTCTTTTTTATGTTTCTAGTAGTTGATTAAAAAATGCCGTTGAATTCCCAGAGATTGGAGAGAGAGAGCGTGCGCTGAAGCCAGCAGCCCTGTAGCACTCCACTGGAGAGCTCTTCCCAGGGGTAAAGGTTCACAGTTCTGGGGAAAGATTACTCTGTCGCTTCAAAATATTTTATTATCCAGTCCATATTTTGTCTTCTGAAAGATTTCATGGGGGGCTTTTTAAAAAAAATCATTATATAATTTCTACCACATTCCTTCTATTTACCAGCAAAGTAATTTTATCTAAATAGGAAGTGACTCTTCGGAGTCTTATTCTTGGTGAACCCACCTTGGCACCTAGTAATTGCTGATCACAAACCATCTATTTTATTTATTCTAGAAACTCTTGATTGTCCAAAATTGCAGGTTGATTTATTGTCAGCATCTTAATGACAGTTTTATTCTTAGATCGGTTTAATCAGCTTCCAAGTGAAATAGGCTGGGTATGCATGACTGGATGAGCTTGCTCGTAGTACATTGCTCTGTACAGTGATCCTTGAAGAGAAATCAGTACATTTTGTCGTATGTATTTATAAACTAGAAGAAATTTAATGATCATGTTGAGATACATCACTGACATCTGGTAGTCAGGCATGGAAGGAATGAAAAGGATGAGGGAGGAGACCAGTGTACCTTTCAAAGAACTCCTTCCTGACCCCTGTAGCATTTCAGTAATTTATTATAGAAGCACAGTAGAAATTTAAAGTTGTATACTGAAGTTTCTTCTAGTTACAAAAGGATGTAGGTAAGGCTGGTGGGGGTGGAGGCCCAAATTAATGCCTGTAGGATCTGGATGAATAATTCGAATGAATGAAGATGGCCAAGTTCACGAAATAAGAGGGGTGGGGACTGTGATGGCCCTGTCTAAAAGAGGACCCACAACTCAGCTCTGCCCATCTGTTTTGTTTTGTTTTTTTTAACTTTAATTACATTTTCAATTATCTTGGTCCCATGCCATCACCAGGTCTTCTGATTCTATGAGACTAGGAATCAGGATTTGTATGTGAAATTTCCTGATATTTAAATAATAGCAATCAAATGTTAAAAGTACTAATCAGAGCAAACAAAACATGTTTATAGGCCACCAGTTCGCAACCTCAGTCTTAAGCTATAGCTCAGAGTTGTGAAACGGAGACACACAGACACAAAAGTGCACCTAAGGGATGAGAACCTCTCCCACCCACCCTTCCTCTTCCGTTTTACTCCTTGCTCGTGAAAATCTGAAAAAATTACAGGGTGATGAGGTGAGAATGGAATCACCTTATCCTAGTATTTCTCAGGTCTTGGTAACCTTTGGTGGTTGGTCACCATTGGCTTACCATGCTAAATATATCTTAATGTTACAGAAACAGAAAGGATTGATTGCATACAAGTCATTTAAGAAGTTTTCACTCTGATTCAGTAAGGAGGATTCTCTCTCAACACTATGTCTTACGTCTTTGGTCTTTAGAAATCTGCCACGCCTAATATTTGATCTAGAACTGTAAAGAGTGGTTTTAAAAATTTTATTGAAGCTGAAAGTTTCATCAAATGTCTGCAAAGAAATCGATAGACAGATACTGATATGTACATGCTGGTCTCAAATTAGTGCATTGTTCCAGTGCACACGTGAAAATGCCGCTAGCTGGACCAGGAGTTCCTTCCAGAGATAATACATGTCCCAGGACAGTTTTCTCTGAATCACACGCCCCACCTTGAGTTACTGATGTAAATACCTAAGTACCTGCTTTGGATAGGATCTGTGTTGAGCTGGGGCAAAATTTGAGGATGAAGAGGATAATGGACTTATTTTTAAGTATCTTTCTAGATATTATGTTGTTAATTTTTTTTCTTTAAACTTTAATTATATTTTCAGTGATCTTGATCCCAGGCTGAAAAAGGAAGTACTTATAACCTGACGACGAGAGGATTTAAGCCTGTTAATTTACACTTAGGCAATTTTAATAAATTCATTTCTGAAATCATCCATTTTTTCCCTAGCTATGGTGTCTTTGACCAGAAAAGATTGTCTTTTTTTTTTTTTAGTTTATTTACTGGCAGTACAGATTTTAAGCAGAAAGTAGTAATATTTTTTTCCAGTTTAATTGAATGTATATTGATTTCAAAATATGAGAGAAGGTGCACACTCCCTCTTGGGAATAGCTGGTGCCATTCCCTTTCCCTTCTCCCCGCACTCCTTTCTCCACAAGCAGGCTCTCCTAACCTCTAAAGCAGTGGGCAGCTGGCAGCTTGTCTCAGACTAATCCCCCGAACCTGTCCCCAAAGCCCCCTTTCCTCTGACTCCCCAGTGAGCTCAGGCAGCCCAGCCTAGGCTCTCCTGTTGCATCTTCTATGCTGATCCCTTCCTTGTTTCACTGTCCCCAGCTTTAATAGATGTTTCCTCACCTGGACATCTGGGTTGTGACATCTTTCCAACGGCAAGTCAAGAACCCACACACTACAGCTGGCCTTAGGCAGACCCACTTTAGGGCCAGACCCCTGTCTGGTAACAACAAAAAAAAAAAGGAAAGAAAAGAAAAGAAAGAAAAAATATGAAAGAAGCATTAAACTATGTATCTGACTGTAACTTTGGTAATTATGGCCTCCCCCTCCAGATCTGGATAGGTTTATGTTTTTCTTTAGAATAACTTACAAATACCTGAAATTATTTGAATTTAAATACATGTGGAGGATGATTAACGTGGTCAGATGATTTTAATGTTTGGCAATGCTTTCATTTCAAATAGGATAAATCATGTTCCTGGGAAAATATCTTTTGATTATATTTTTTTCTTAATATATTCTTAAATT